TGTTTGTGGATTTTAGGTAAACCATACAGACTAGGTGTGGCCTCCCCTGGGTACAGTCTGTGGTACAGAATACGGTCAATAGCCTTGTCCTGCTCCAAATTTTTCAGGCAATCTATCAATTTCTTCTTGTAACCACTTCCTGATCTCTTTTCAGAGGTTCATAAGTGGTTAAGTCACTAAGGAGTGTCATAACTTTCTCATGATAGTCTTTCTGGTTCAAAATCACTGTGCACCTTCCTTTGTCTGCTGGGAGAATGATGATGTTTTTGTCCTTGCTAAGAGTGGTGAGTGCATCCCTCTCCTCTCTACTGATGTTGGAAGGTGGTGGTTTGGCATTGCTGAGGCAGGATGAAACTTTGATTCTGAGCTGTTCTGCTTCACCCTCTTTCATTTTCTATCTTATTTCTATCTTATTTCAAGATACTCAAAGCTCTTTACAACAATCTGTGCCTCATTTACCCATTCATACAGCTCTATACTAGATCTCTACAAAGCTAATTGAACAAATCATTCTAATGAGACTAATCAGAGTTTTATCACATTCATACACTGATGGGACACACATCAGAGGCAATGAGGGGTTCAGTGTCTTGTCCAGGGACACTTCAGCATGTGACTGCTGGTGGGTTCGAACCCCCAGCTGCCACTAGGTGCTATCTTCCGCAAACATGACATACCCTTTCATTTCTACGCCGATGATTGCCAAATTTACTTCCCCCTGAGGCACAGAGGCACACGCTCTATTCAGCCTCTTCTTGACTGCCTGGCTGACATCCGGGACTGGATGGCTTTAAACTTCTTAAGCTTCAATGAGAAGAAGTCTGAAGTCATGCTGTTCCATCCCAGTGGCTCACTCATGAACCATGACATTGACCTTTTCTCTCTAGCCCCGCTAGAGAAACAAAAGGTCACTAATCTGGGGGTGATAATGGACCCATCCTTAAAACTCAACAGTCACGTAAACATGATGGTCAAATCCTGTTTTTTTCAGCTGAGACGGCTGTCTAAGCTGAAGCCTATACTCTCCAAAAAGAACCTTGAGACAGTGATCCACGCCTTCATAACATCTAGGCTTGATTACTGCAATTCACTTCTGTTTGGAATCAGTCAGTCCTCCATTGCTCGTCTACAACTGGTCCAAAATGCTGCAGCCCGATTTTTAACTGGTACAGGCTATAGAGAGCACATCACACCAGTTTTGGCCTCCCTGCACTGGCTACCCATTCACCTTTGGATCCATTTCAAAATCCTCATGTATGTTTTCAAATCACTGAACAGTTCCGCCCCATCCTATCTCACTGATCTTCTGCAGCCATATGTCCCACCGCGCTCTCTGAGGTCAGCAGACCAGATGCTTCTCTCAATCCCAGAAACCCGTCGTAAGCTCAGAGGTGACAGGGCTTTCTCTGTCGCAGGTCCACGACTGTGGAATGAGTTGCCACTGAGTGTCCGGCAGGCTCCCACACTCTCAGTCTTTAAGTCTCGCTTGAAGACCCACTTCTATTCGCTTGCCTTTAACACGGTGTGATTTGTTTTGGTCCGGTCTGTTCTCTACTCTGTTGGCCATTTTAGTTAGCTTCTGCTGCTATTTGTATCTGTATTTCTATTTTATGTTTTCCTGTCTGCTGTGCATGTTTGGTTCTTTTGTACAGCACTTTGGTTGGCCTTGTTGCTGTTTTAAGTGCTATATAAATAAATTGGTATGGTATGGTATGGTAC